TTTCCCATGTATGAAACAACACTTTTCCCTAAAATAATTAGAGGAAAAACTGAGGGTTGTTTTATACACGGAAGGAGGCAGAGGCAAAGGAGCATTCGTACCTGCTCAGGGACCTCTTGCCTGCTGCCTCCCCCGCCCGCCCGATCACCTCCTCCACTGGGACTGACGGCTCACCTCCACCTCATGTCTGCATTCACCCCTCCGGTGGCGGAGGCAGCAGGAGGCGGAGGCAAAGCAGTCACACTGGAACAGGAAAGACAGAGGTGGAGGAGCAGTTGCCCATTAACTGCTCCTCCACCTCCAGCAAGAGTCAATATTAGGGGGTCGTTTTATATATTGAAGGGTCTTACACACAGAAAAATACAGTATTCTCCAGCATACAGGAGTGTATAAAACAACATACATCGTTGTAAAAACATAGTATTCTCCAGCATACAGCCTGGAAGATGGTCAAAGGAAGAGATTAGGCATCCTTCAGTCTCAAGAGACTATGGTAACGTGCTCTGTATGGAGGACTTGGAACAGCGTCTAGTGTGGCTGAGAAGGCCAATTCGAGAGTGACAACACCTTCCACACTGAAGACAAATACAATCTGTCCCCTGTCCAGCTCCCTGATTTTGCTGTTTCGGGACTGCCTCTTTGTTCGGCCTGCTGGACAAGTGTTCAACTTCCCCTCCTGCCGTACACAAAGGGTCCAGGACTCACTACAGTACAGGAGTTTGCTCAGGACACAGGCTCTGTAGAGCTGGCTCTGTAGAGCTGGATCTTGGTATATGCCGTCAGCTTCTTATTAAGCCATACTGTCTTTGTGAGTCTAGAGAACGTGGTAGCTGCTTTGCCAATCTGTTTATGCAGATCGACATCTAGGGAGTGTCAGAGATCGTTGAGCCAAGATATACGTACAAAGTCATTAACAACCTCCAATTCTTGTGTAGATGGTAATAGAGGGAGGTGAGTCCACACTCTGGCCCATTGTGTTTTCTTCAGGCTGATTGTTAGTCCAAAGTATTGGCAGGCCTTGCTAAAGCGATTCATGAGTTGTTGGAGGTCTCCAGTAGAGTAAGCAACAATGGCTGCATCATCTGCAAAGAAGTCCTGCACGCATTTCAGCTGGATTTAGGTCTTTGCTCTCAATCTAGAGAGATAAAAGAGCTTTCCGTCTGATCTAGTCCGGAGATAGACAGTTCTAAAAGCATGCTTCAGCATGACAGCAAAAAAGATCCCAGAGTCAGCGTGAGGAGACAGCCCTGTTTTCACTCTGCTTTGGATGTCAAAGGGATCTGATGTTGAGCTATCAAAAACTGCAGTGCCCTTCATTTCCTCATGAAAGGACATGATGATGTGAAGGAGTCGAGGTAGACATCCAATCTTGGGAAGTATTTTAAAAAGCCTGTCCCTGCTGACCAAATCAAAGGCCTTTGTGAAATCTATGGAGGCCACAAAGAGTGACTGGTGTTCCCTACATTTCACCTGCAACTGAGGGAAAATACCATGCCAGTGGTGGATCTATTAGCTCAAAATCCACACTGTGATTCTGGATAGACTCTGTCTGCAAGCACCTGGAGTCTCTTCAGCACAACAGGGGCAAGCAGCTTCCCTACAATGCTAAAAGGAGAGATGCCACGGTAGTTATTGCAGTTGCCCTGTCTCCTTTTTTCTTATACAATGTGACGATGATTGCATCCTTCATGTCCTGTGGTACTCCACCTTCCCTCCAGCAAAGACAAAAGATTTCTTACAGCTCAGTGGTGATGATCTCTTTACAGCATTTCAGCAGGGATGTTATCCTTCTCAGGTGCCTTGACGGAGGCGAGGAAATCCAAGGCCGCTTTTATTTCTGATAAAGTTGGTTCGCTGTCCAACTTTTCAAAGACAGGCACTCAGTGTTATTTAGTGCCTGTTTAGTTACTACATTCTCTCTGGAATACAGCTCAGAGTAGTGCTGCACCCAGCATTCCATCTGCTGTGCTTGGTCTTGGATGATCATGCCTGTAGCAGACTTCAAGGGAGCAGATTTCTTCTGAACTGGACCTAAAGCCTGCTTGATACCATCATACATTCCCCTGATGTTACCTGTGTCCACTGCTATTTGTATCTGAGAGCAGAGCTGAAGCCAATAATCGTTGGAACAACAAGTCGAAGAGCCTGCAAGTTGTACTCACTAGGACAGGCTTTGTATGCTGCTAGAGCTCTCCTCTTATCCTCGATGGCTGGCATCAACTACTCCAAATGGGCTTCGAACCAGTCTGCTGTCTTGTTGGTTTTCTTGCCAAATGTGGACAACACGGTGTTATAAACAGCGTTCTTGAAATGTTCCCATCGTTCAGGTGCATTTGCATCAGCTGGGCCTGGAAGGGTTTCCTCAAATGCTTGGGCAAATCCCTCCACTTTTCTTTGATCGCGAGTCTTGCTGATGTCAATAGGTGGTCTTCCTTCCTTTTTTGTGTGATATAATCTGTTTGCTTGCAGTTTTACTCTACTAGACACCAGGGAATGATCAGTATCGCAATCAGCACTCTGGTAACTGTGTGTGATCATAATACTAGGAAGGCTAGAACGTCTAGTGAGGATCAAATCAAGCTGATGCCAATTCTTGGATCTTGGATGTCTCCAGGAAACTCTGTGTTGAGGCTTCGTATTAAAGAATGTGTTGCTGACACAAAGACCATAATAACAGCAAAACTCCAGCAAGCGTTGGCCATTCTTGTTCATCTTCCCAATGTCAAAACGGCCTAGACAAGTGGGCCAAGAATTGTGATCAGCACCAATTCTAGAGTTACAGTCTCCGAGAATGAACAGTGGTTCTCTCGGGGATTTTTTTTGATAGTAGCTGCCAGATCATCGTAGAATTTGTCTTTGCCTTCTCTTGTGGATGACAGTGTTGGTGCATATGCACTAATGAGGGTGACCGGTTCCACTGATGAGGGGAGCTGCAGAGACAGGATTCTTTCACTCCCCACAGTAGGTGGAACAATGGATCTCAGCAGAGTATTTCTGACGGCAAAGCCAATACCATGTTCCCTGCTCTCATTCAATGGTATTCACTGTCAGAAGAATGAGAAGTTTTTTTTCTTTGATAGATCCCATATCTGACAATCTTGTCTTTTGCAGTGCAACAATGTCCATCTGCAGTCTACTCAGTTCCATGTCGATGACAGCTGTCTTGTGCACATCGTCTATTTCCTGCAGGTCATTAGAAAAGCCAGGGGTCATTGTCCAAACATTCTAGGTGCTCAACTTCTCTTATGATTGCTGCATGGTGCAGGGTTATCGATCTGCTTGTCGGCTTTCAGCCTAAACCCCACACACCCCATGAGGTTAACAGACCGTGGCGAGATAGCAGTGGCTGGGGACTGCCAAGCTTAAGGTGGGCAGTAGCTACGTGGTGAGGTACAAGACCTCTCCCACCATTGGAAGTAGCCCTGGCGTCATGCTGTATGCCAATAGAGCAAAGACTTATAACCGGTAACTGCTACTAGCCATATTGTTTCGACGCTGTATGCAAAGCTGGATTGTCCTCTCCAGAGCACAAAGCCTGGGTAAAATAATATGGAGGATAGGCAGTTACCCAAGCAGCAAATGCCCCCTCTGCATTGCTGAAATAGTCCAATGGAAAGACATGAGCCAATAAACTGGTTCCAGTGAGGTTGCAGGAGTTGTCAGAACGACAGGAACTGCCTCCCTGCAGTGAAAGACGGAGTTGCCAGAACGACAGGAACTGCCTCCCTGCAGCGAAAGACTGAAACTGGAGTTTTTCTTCTCCTAGATGGGCTGCCTTCCACCTACCCAGCCTGCTCCCTAATAGTGAGGAGATTAGAACACAGGCCTCCAGCTGCCGGACCTTGTCTTGCAAGAGGACCACCAACTAACACTTAGGGCATTTCTACCCAGGCACCTCAGTGGAAAGAAAACAAACATGCCACAGGTGTTACAAGTGCAACAGATCCTGCACTCTGCATCTCGATTAATTAGTCAGTGAACTAAATAAAGGGAAGAAGTCTGATCCTACCCCTAAAACTTTCCTGCCCCCCAGGTGTATGCAATGCTATTTGGCTTTCCTATTTACCAGATTAGAGTAAAAAATAGAATCAGAAAATTTCCTCTTCAAGAAAAGGGCTCAAACTTAGAGCTTCTGCCAGTCTACATTTAAAGCCAAACCCCCACCCCCTCAGACCATGCGGTCAGGGAGAACAAAGGTCGGCCTAGCAGAAAATACCCTACCCCAAACACAGCTCACCTCCTGCCTCAGCTTGCTCTTCAGGAAAAGGGCTTAGAGCTACTGCTTGCTCTCATTTAAAGCTAAAACCCCGCTCCCTCAGACCATGCAGTCAGAGAGAACAAAGGTCACCCTAGAAGAAAATACCTCACCAAATAAAATGTCCTCCCAAACACAGCTCACCTCCTGCCTCAGCTCCTCTTCAGAAAAAAGGTGGAAGAAGAGAGAGCTGTCAACAAAACAACGGGAGGAAAACAAACAGGAAGAGGGGTGGAGGCTTGCCTCAAATGCCAGAGGCAGGAAAGAAACTTTACCAATCGTTAGTGGTAAAGAACAATCATTTTCTGATGTAAAGCCCCATTTCACTGATACCCAGTGTTAGAGCATCCAAAACTGTTATTATCCCAGCAGAAAAAGGGGATAGTAATCTATGAATGTTCATGCCAAATAAAATTTAAAGGTGCCACAATATGGCTTTATCTCTGGAAACCTAGATCACTCCGAGATCACCATGCAACAAATACCTTAAAAAGTTAGCCAAATATTATACATATGTTATACACTTTTATGAGAGACCAGGCTGGAACTCAGTGAATAGACTGATCTAACACAGGTCTGGTGTGAAAACCTCTTGCTCTACTAGGTTATCAAAAATTTTTATCAGAAGTTATATTTTGTTCTTTGTCCAGTCTCAGATGTTTCCTCCCATAATACTTTAATACTCTGGCATAACAAAACAAGCCTTTCAAGATTTTATCCACTAAATAGATTTGTCTTAACCTACCTGATCTTGCAGAGACATAACAGGATTATTTTTGGTTGTGTTGATATGAAGAACATGATACTTGTTCCGTGCACAAAGGTCATAGGCAATGTTTGTAAAGGATGTGCTTGCAGTTTTAGGTACTCGGTTATAAATGATCACCACATTTTCATCTTCATCCAGGATGACATCTGATCTAGACCCATCTACTGTGTGACGCTGTTCAATTTCTCGGACTTCGTGTTTTGCTATAGCCCTTTCTGTAGAAATAAACAAATGTACAAGGTGTTTTATCAACTAAACACATTTTAATTTAAGTATTTATTTAATCAAAATTGAATCTTATTTGATCAAAATAGAATCTTCCTTAAATGTGTAGTTAAGACATGATGTCTAGAAACTTAAAAACTAAAGTTTCCATTCAGGGTTAATAAGGATAAGGAAAAAGCTGGTATTTTAAAAGAGTTTTCACAAAATAAAATTTCTCAATAGCCAAGCAAAAATTTTTTGCCATTAAATATTTAGCAGCTTGCAATGATACAGAGATAAAATGATACTGCGCATAATATTAATTTTTACAGAACATTAGCCACTGACCATTCATGGTTACGTCAATTAATTGCGAAGAGGAACTGAAATTCAGATAAAATGGATGTTGTGCTTATTTTAATTAAGCCCACTCCCTTGTGTATGATCTTTCAATGAATGGCTGTATAAAATCCAATTAGATATTAATTGCAAGTTTGATAAGAATAGACGTAGACACAGCTTCATCACTAAAGGTGCAAAGTGCCAGTCTTGAATACCAAAATTTAACAAACCAAAGGGAAAGACATAAGAGAATCAGTTGCAAACCTTGATCTGAACACCATAGTAACTGGGACATTACACTACAGTACTGCATATGCCTACAGTAGCTTTCCAAATAAGTACCTCAATAGTAATACATAGCTACCTTAAATGTACCTTTTGTGTATGTTGCCTTTATAATACCTGGCTGGCCCCAAAGTAGACTGCCTTTCCCTACCACCACTACTTGCTGCTGCTTGACGACACGTTTACAACAGATGCATGCATTCCAGTTTCCATCCTTTTATTACACATCATCCTACTGCTTTTGACACCACAACCTCTCCAACTAGCTCCCAATTATTTATCAAACAAGTTAAAGAGTATAATCTTACTTTTAGATTTATAACTGTTTATTTCTTTGATTTTTGTGATTGTTTTGTTACTCTGCAATACAAAAGGAGGAATTCTTAAGATACTAGGGTAAGGATTTACAACCACTGGCATTTATTTATTTATTTTATTTAACTTATATGCCGCTCACACTACCCAAAGGTCTCTAATTTGTCTAATTTGTCTAATTCAGAAGGGGGAGGGGAAGATTTATTTATTTAAAATATTTTTTACCCCACCTTTGTCCTTAAAAAAGGACCCAAGATGAAAATGTGAGTGAGACAGGGAGAGCTGTCTACAAGTGATCAGGATGGATTTCTTGGAAGAGCTTTTTGTTCCTCCACTGGGCACAGGTTGGGCGGAGAAAAAGGATGGGGGGATGGAAAGAGGGGGCAGAAAGAGAAGATGGAGCCCCATGCACCTTTGGTCCTATCCCTGTCTACTGCTGGTATGTAGCTCCTGATTATTATCTCTGGCCTGTGACAGAGAAAAGGTTGCCGCTCCAAAATTAGCAACAAGTCTATGTTTAGCACAGAAGTCTAAATAACAAAGACATTTTTTAAAAATAAGGAAAAGAAACATGGATAAGTGAACAAACACAACCAAATGATCATTTGAGTTAAATATTCTACACTGGAAATCCTGAGGACACAAAGGAAGCTAACAAAAATGTCTTCCTTCACAAATGAATGAGTTCTCTAAACTGGAATTAAATTATATTTTTAGAGCCATACCTTTATTACTACCAGCTGTCTTTCTTTGTTTTACCCTTCCTTCTGCATTTGCTTGTTCCCTGTGCTGCATTATATGTAAATGATTTAATTAGCTAACTGGCACACCTGTCAAGAATGTGCATAAATTCATTCTATCTAGATGTTGACTGAGTGCCACTGAATGATGTTAGATTCTCAAATCCTTGCATCCAAAAGCCTCTGAAGAAACATCAAGAATGTCAGAACAGCCTTCTATTACACTGTTTCAATACTCACACATGCTTCATTCAAAATACTGTACAGTTTCTCAGTATTAACACATTCCTTTTGGTTAAATCTCAATACATGAAGAAGCAGAAACAAACAGCTAGATCAGGCAAGTTGATATATCCTAATTCAGAGTTACCTACACAATTTCATATACATATGTTCTCCAAGAGCATATTTATTATGACAGACTTTATAATTTTGCACTAGCCTTCTTCATTATAGGATTTATCGGAACTACAGACAAAGCATATTTAGATTACTAGGACCTTTTTATGTCAGCCAAAATATTGTAACCAATATATAATACAATACTGGAAAAAGTACAGCACATACTCTATAGTTCAGCTCCAGCATCTTGTACAAAAGTTAGGAAACAAACACTGGGCTTGATGGCTTTTAGCCTTATTCTGAGAAATACATAAGCAGGTCTTTTTGTTTCCTGAAAAGTACAGCATATTTTAATCAAGATTTTACACATCAGGCCAGCTGAGAATTAGATATCTGCTAATGTGATACTGTTGTCCCCCCACCGCCAAACATTTTTTATGCATTATTCCTGTCCTTTTCAACTCATTCAATTTTTAAAACAATTAACAAGAACTCATTTTTTGTAGCAAACATAAGCTGTTAAATAACCAAGTGTATCTTACACACTGACAGTGACCGACCTAAGGCCTCTGGAAAGTAGCAAGCAAAGTATGATGGCGATGTCATAGCCATTTCCTTGTCCACAGTAGCTGGCTGTCACAGCAGAATATACAGGCTCAATTTAGCAGTCATGGCTAAGTAGCCACTGACAGATGTAGCTTTACTGAATATGTCTGTTCTTTCAGCCATCTAAGCTTTTAGAAAATATATGTTTCTCAGTGAAGAGCCATCACATTTTCATGGATTTCTTTTTGAATATATAGTTTTAAAACTCTATTACTATCCTCCTGAGTATGGCTGTATTTCATTAAAAGGGCACAGCTATGTGTAGGTTTTTTTTGGTGTTTCCTAACAAGATTGTAGAACAGAGGGAAAGGCTGGTGTTAATGAACTTGCTAACAACCAAAGACAGCTTCAATATTTCCCTATGCAAACCAGATGTACATGAAATTGCTTTTGAAAATTATCTGTCTATGGTTGAATTTAACTACCAAAAGTCTAGTCATGCATTTAATCAAACTGACGTATCTGAGAATTTAGTGTTGCAGGTTAAAGCCTAGGGTTATGTGTAACTATTTGCATGGCCAACTGTGGCAACTGCTGTCAACCAACCAGCTGGAGTCCAAGCACCTCTCATCACTACTGGCTCTTTCAGGTTAAACTGAAGAAACTAGCCTGCCATGCCAAGGGATTGGGGGAGGTACTAATGTCTTTCTGTATTACAGAACGGATTGATGAAACAGCTTATTAATTTAAAGAGGAGTCCTTGCAATCTGCTCCAAAGACAATATATGAAAATTAGAGATGGGGATAAATATAAAAATGGATCGCAAAAACCATTCTGCCTATTGGCTGCTGAAAAGGTGATTGTGGGCTGATAGGCAGCCAGCCACCCCCACAGCCTATCCCCCACCTTATTCCTCTCCCTACCTTAGCCCCCACCCTCACCTCTTTATTATAATTGTTGTTGCTGCTGCTGAGGCCACCATCAGGCCTCCGCAGCCACAGCATATAAAAAGGGAAACTGGCTGCCCTTTACAAAGATGGTGGCTGTGGCTTCATTTAGAGTAGGGAAGCTGCAGCTGCCATCTTTGCAAAGGGCAGCCTGGCAGGGAGGTGAGGGGGTTGCAGCAGTGGTGGTGGCGGCGGCAGCAGGGGATGGCAGTGGCAGCGGGGGGCAGGGCAGGGTGTTTTTTTAAAATAACCCCCCATGAATTGACAATTTTGGTATTCGTCGCTTCATGGGGGCAATTTCGTGCTTCGTGAGTCATCAGCTTTTGACAACTCATGATGCAGGTTGATTTGCTAAAATGGTGAGTCATCCCCATCGCTAATGAAAATCCTTCCCAGTTTTCATTCCAATGGCAAGGAACAGCACTGATTCTGTGTTCAGAATCACAGTTTTCTTTTAAAATCAGGGCTGTACTATAAAATCTGTTAACAGAAACTTTCCCTTTCTCCACAACTTTTAAAGAGGAATCACTTTTCAAACTGCTTTTTGAGATGATTTCAGCCCTAGAAATATAGTTTGAAATAGGAAATGCCTTGATATATCTGTCAGAAAACGTCCTTGTTTTAGGAATAGCATAAGACACAGTGACATTTACTATATTTCAGTCTGCCTTTCAAGACATAAATCTTTCTAAGGCAGCTTAGAAGTAAAAATAAAATGCATTAATAAACAAAATCCCAGGAATTCTTCCCAATTACTGTTATCAGTTGATCCTAGTGGAAGTGCAATCCCACTGCAGTGGGCTCTGGGATCTTTTTCATATTGGCAGAGTTGAGCAAACCAGAGCAACAGTAAGAGTCCAGGGAGAGAGGCAGATATGGAGGCTGAGCTTAAAAGGCCCCCCCAAAAAAACTGCAACATGTGGGTAAACAGGTGAGATGATAAAGAATATCTGGGTAGATGAGACAGAGTATGGTCTTCTGCTTCAACAGCACGAAATGTATTTTTTAAACACTGGTTAAATTTAGAAACAAGCATGTTAAAGAAGTAAATGATTAATTGACACCGGTACTTAATGACATGGATATATTAACAAGTACACTGCTCAGTTACAAAGTTCTGTGATTTCTACAAAACATTGCTTCCTTTCTAGTCAACGCAAACAATTTGCAATTCTTATAACATATAATTTGTGGCTCAAACCATGTTTTAAAGAAAGAGGATGCAAGGCAATGAGAAGAGCATGTGGATACTAACAGCTTTTTTAATGGTAATACTTAGAATCATAGAATAATGGAGTTGGAAGATGCCTATAAGGCCATTGAGTCTAATCCCCTGCTCAATATGGGAATCCATATCAAAGTATATCTGATATATTGTTGTGTAATTTTCTCTTGAATGCTTCTAGCACTGGAGTGCTCACCATCTCTGGAGGTACAGTGGTGCCTCGACTTACAAGTGTCCCGATTTACTACCAATTCAAGTTACGAGCATC